TTTTCCATGCTAATACCCGATTGTTCCAGCAGTGTTTGTTAAAGAGTCTATCATGTTATCATTAAATTACTTCTGTACCTTTGTTGGGGCGGGGAGGAAGTCCCAACGAAAACCTGCCAGTCTGCTAGCCTGCCATGTGGATTTCGAACTCAAGATAACAACATCAACTCATACCTGAATTTCCAAGCTACCACCTTGCCCTACAAACTTTGAACTCACCAGACCCTACAACCAATTCCTTAAAATAAATCTCTCTGTATCCATGCATATATCCTGTTAACTCTGTTTTTCTAAAGAACCCTGACTAATATGCCAAGTATCTTAGTTCGGGATGCTATAACAAATTTTCATAGACACGATGGCTTAAACAACAAATATTTTATTGTCATAGTTCTAGAAACTGGAAATGAAGATTAGGGTGCCAGCAGGACTGAGTTTTTGGTGAGCACCCTCTCCCTGGTGTAGAAGGCACATTGCTGTGTCTTCACTTGGAAGGAGAGAGGGCTAGCTCTCTGGCCTCTTAAGAGGACTAATCCCATTCATGAGAGCTCTATCCTCATGACCTAATTACTTCCCAAAGGCTCCACCTCTAAATACCATCACTTTGGGATTAGATTTCAGCATATGAATTTTGAGGGGACACAAACATTCAGTCTATATCACCAAGCTCCTAAGGGGCACAGCTGCCCTTGGTATAAGAATAACAGTAATAACTGATACATATTTAGTATTAACATTAAGAAAGCCACTCGATCTAGCACTTTACATACACTGTCTAACTAATCTTTGAGATTCTATGAGGTAATTACTATTATTATTTTAAATAAGAGGAATTTAAAGCCTGGAGAGGTTAACTAATTTTCCAGGTAACATAACTAGTAAGTATAAAAACTAAGCCAGATCAGTCTAATTCCAGAGCTCCAGCTTTTAGCCACAACCCTCTATAGATTTATATATCAGTATTTTCTGTTTCCTTGTCTTGAGACTTCCCAGTGGATCCTGAAATAAATGCGCTTTCACTTGAGCCAGTTTTAATGGGTCTCTGTTATTTAAAGCATACTGTCTCAATCATAATGTGTTCCATTTTGGTAAAGTTTTAGGTAACTTAAGGATCATGTCTTCTATTTCGTGTTTCTCCCCAAACGGTATATCATACAAGGTTTTTTTAATCACAACTACTCATTTACCCTTCATTATTAAATAAAAAATATCCAGTGTTAAGGAAAGCATTTTAAAGTAAATCTTTTCTTCATGCAGGTAAGACATATTTCCATTAATTCTCTAAAAATAAGATTAAGTAAAATTTGTCAGACATTTTTCAATGGGAGCAAATTTTTCATTCTTTTCAGTGATTGTGAAAAAACAAAATATAAAACAAAGACTATTCTCTTATTATTCTTTTAGTGATTAACCTATAGATTACAATATACCATCCTTAACTTACTGCAATGTATTTAATTAAAAATTAATACTACTTATGCAACTATGGATCACCTTAAACCTGATCCTAAATATACTATTTCCATCACGAAATGAATAGTTGCCACCCAATGTTATTGTTTGGTAGGCCTGATGGTACTCAGCTCATCATGAGTAGCTTTGACCGAACAGCTACCTGATCAATGGGCAGGCTCTCAGAACTAAGGCTGATGCAGTAGTATGCCTAGAACTGCTATTTAAACAGTGACTAGTTCTCCACTGCAGATGATGTGGCCTTGCTGAAGAACCCTTGGAAACTGCACTGTGACTCTTCTCTTAAAAGCTTGCTGGAGATTCCACAAAGAACCATGGATTATGCTGGGTGGTTGTGTTAGTTACCTATTGCTGTATAACAAATTATCCCCAAATTTATCAGCTTGAAACCTCAGTAAGCATGATCTCATACAGTTTCTGTAGTCCAGAAATCCAGAAGCAGCTTAACTGGGTGGCTCTGGTTTGGGGTTTCACTGGCTTGATTGAAGCACTCAGCCAGGGCTGTGGTCATCTGAAGGTTTAACTGGGTCTGGAGTATCTGCTTACATGGCTGTTAGCTGAAGGCCTTGTTCCTCACTGGCTTTTGGGAAGAGGCCACAGTTTCTCAAAATATAGACCTCTCTAGAGGACTGCTTGAGTCTCATTATCACATGGCAGCTGGATTCCCCCAAAATAAATGATTTGGGAGAGGAACAAAAGTGGTGCCAAAAATGATCCCAAAAGACACAGTCCCAAATGCTGACATCCCAAAGGATCAAAATCCCTAAAGTCTAAAGTCCCTGACATCTAAAATCCTGAAAATCACAATTAGTGCATTTTTGGTTGTACACAGGATACTTAACATCATGTCAGTTGTATCATGTTAGGTGGAACTAACATTGTTATTGTCTTTATTTGGAAATTAAACATGGTTTAAGAAGATGTGTGCAGTTGCCAAGTTGACAAGGGGTGGACTTGTGGACTTAACTTTAGGTGTCAATTTAACTGGATTAAGGAATACCTGGAAACCTGGTAAAGCATTATTTTAGGTGTGTCTGTGCAGGAGTTTCCAGAGGAGATTAGTGTGTGAGTCTGAGAGGACCACATGGGAAAGATCTTCCTCTCAGTGGTTCAGTATATCAAAGATCATAGAAGAAGTGAAAATGCAGGCAGAAAATACAAGAAATCTGCCTGCCAAATTATTCAATTATACTACCTCTGCCCCTACACGCATGCATACCACCAGGCTTGCCTTCAAAAAATCACCCTTCATTAGGAAATAAAAAGAATTCGACAAGCTCAGCAACAGTCTGAACCAAAGACACTTACTGACTTAGAGGTTCCTCCTGTGTTTACAAAACACATTAAACAGCGAACTGTTTTTGGTGAGAGATTAGAAAGTTGAAGAAGATAGACTTTGTATGTGTACCACTAAATCTGGCATGGAAAAACTAGCATGTGCTTCACTTTGGCTACTGGATGGCACTTTCAAAATAGTCCCCACTGTTTTTTGTCAACTATGTACAATTCATGCCCCTGTCGGATCCAATAATTCTAGAATTTATCTGCTCATTTATGTATTAATGATCTGAAAAAATGAAGCACTTTATAAATGCCTATTTGAGAATTTGGTGGACGTTGCAGAAGAAAATGGATTTCAACCGAATCTCTAAACCATAATAATAGATTTGGAATTAGATGCAATCAATGCTTCTAGTGAATTTGAAGTTATCACCAATAAACTTGGAATTTTCCATTGACCCTATGCTTTTGGGGGAAAAAATCAGATGAGTGGATGAGCCATGCAATACAGCAATGACAAAAACTTCAGCTTAAAAGCATTGGCATTCCTTCTAGCTGTGAAATTCCAGTAGCTTTTATTGAATTGAAACTGCATTTGCCTGAAGAAGCCAGCAAAGTTACTGACTGGTTTGAAAATAATTATATGCACGATAGGACAAGAAAACACCTATGCAAAACACTTGCTGTTCCATCACCAGGATTGCTTCTACAAAATTTGTGGCATATGAGTGCATGAGGAATGAATGTTGGTGTATATTGAATCACAAAAGAAATTTTAAAAGAGCAGCATCACCTAGAAAATGAATGTGAATGTATTCTCCAAAGAGAGCCACGTCTTGGGGAAAAAAAGCAGTTATTTATCAAGATGCAATGCTTCAAAATATAATTAATGATTGTGAAAGTTTGCCATCTCTTAGAGACTACCTCTGTGCAATTGCTCATAATCTATGCCTCTAATATACTTATTCATATGTCAGATTTTCTTTTTTTCTTTTGCTTTTTTAGTTTTTTTTTCATTATTTTAAATTTACAGCATTACTTTTTACAATTTGCTGCATGTTTTTAATACTGGAGGTATAACTGTGTAAAGACTTTTAGATTTCTAATTTGTTTTATGTATTTTTCGCAAATTTGGCTTCATGAAAGTGCATTATCACAACATTGACTTTGTGCATAAATGTTGTCTGTGTATGTAAAAACATTGAAACTTCCTCAATAAATGAAGAGATAGCCTTTGTATACATCTGTATTTGTGAAAGATAAAATTCCTCAAGATCTTGGCTCATTGGGTAACTCCATATGCAGTGGTCACCCATTGTGGTTTTTAATTGATTTAATCAAGACCTAGGTTGTCCATCGCAGTATTTCAGATGACCATGGTTATAAAGCTGGGTACACACAATTACTAACCATAGTGATAGGCATTTGTACATTTTTATTTTTATGTATTTATTTATGATTTGTTTGCTCATAACTGTTACACCCATATGACTATCATTAGTATACCCGAGTGTTTGTGCTTGCAAAAATATGTATATTATTTTTACCTCTTTTTTGTGTAAAGTGCTCTGTCATGTTTTTATGCTTCTCAAATAAATCTCCTTTAAAAATGTAAATAAATGTCTTTTAAAGCATTTTTAAAATTATTTTTTCCAGAGTTACACTTTCAGAATTGTGTCTTTCAGGATTGTGGCTCAAATCTGAGCAAGAGTGTGTCTCGATTTCTTCTGTCACCTGATCTTAGAAACCATATACAACCACTTTTGCCTCCATATCAGCCACTCACCCACATGGATGCCCAACACTTTGCTTTTTCTTTACTTTAGCTGCAATCTTCTGCCAGGAGCTATACTGGAATTTTGAGACTCTGGATGTACACAAAATCATAAGAGCCCACAGGGGAATGAAGGCTATAAGTGCTTGGTGTTAATTCACTTCTACTTGTAGGTTTTCACTTCTTGCCTATTTTGATTCTAGCACACTTATGCGGTGTGTCTGTGCTTCCTAAGCACCATCAGATAGGGTGAAATGTCACTGTGCCTTTTGTAAGTTTTTATTTATCTCCTTAATTGGGAAAAACCAGTAAGGAGTTTGAGTTACCTTAAATGTCCAGTTTTGTCACTCAGCACCAGGCAACTGCCATTAGGTTATTAAATACGAAATGTTATTAATAAAAGTTTTTGTGTCTCTCCTTTCTCTGGAAGCAGGTTTCTGACTCGGCCAAACTCAGATCATTAGCCCACACCTAGAACTGGCAAATGTCTCCAGAGACGAGAATGAAAAACAGTACATTGGATAAATAAATTGTGTTGTAGTCATACAATGGAATACTATACAGCAGTGAGAATGATAGAAATATTGCTACTAGCAACAACATGGACGAATCTCACAATGTCGAGTGAAAGAAGCCAGACACAAAATATTCATCTTCTATGAATTCATTTACATGCCTTTTTTTTAGACAGAGTCTCGCTTTGTTGTCCAAGCTACAGTGAGTGCTGTGGCGTCAGCCTCGCTCACAGCAACCTCAAACTCCTGGGCTCAAGCAATCCTACTGCCCGAGTAGCCAGGACTACAGGCATGCACCACCATGCCTGGCTAATTTTTTCTATATATATTAGTTGGCCAATTAATTTCTTTCTATTTTTTATAGTAGAGATGGGTCTCGCTCTTGCTCAGGGTGGTTTCGAACTCCTGACTTCGAGTGATCCACCCACCTCGGCCTCCCAGAGTGCTAGGATTACAGGCGTGAGCCACCGCGCCCAGCCCTACATGCCTTTCAAAATCAGGCACAATTAATTATGGTCTAGGAATCAGGACAATGATTGCTTTGGAAGGGTGGGCAGTGACTAGTAACAGGAACGAAGAGGCTTTGAGAGTCCTGGTAGTGTTCTATTTCTTGATCTAGGTTGCCGATTACATGAACATGTTCATTTTTTGAAAATTTGTTGAGCTGAACACTCATGATTTGTGTGCATTTCTATACATATGTTTTGCTTCGACAACAGCTTTACATTAAAAAGCCTAAAATGTAAAAATTATTGTCCATTATTGGCGTTTCTGTTTCCATTTAAATGTTTTGAATAAGATCACGATAAATATATAATATGCAAAGCCACAGGGAATTTTAATATACAACTGAAAACCACTAGGATTTCTAGAAATACCAAGGGTCATCTCAGTGTCACTGTGAGCATTTGAGCAGGTTCGGTGCCTTTCTCTTTGAGGTACTTTTCCTCTCGTGTTGGAACGGTATCCCAGTTCAGAGAGGTAACAGTCATCACTGATCTCTTCAGGGACCTTACAAAAACAGCATCTTCTGGATCATCAAACACAGTTCTGCAAAAATAGAAATTATGTCAGGAAAAAAACCAATTTGACCAAAATGAAATTTTTATTTAAATGTGAATGTATGCCATGTGTTTCTGGGTTATTTGTCATATAGCACCACTAACAAATAATTTGTGGGCTCTATTGACAAATGACTTTGAGGCTAAGTGACACTATTTTTATTATATATGTTGTTTATTTTTAAAATAAAGTGTCTGAACGTATTTGGGGAACAACTGTTACTGTTTAGGTCTCACACACGCGCAGTCATGTTTTAAAACCATGTTAAATGAGATGACTAAAGTATTTATAGATATATGCATATTATTATCTTCAATACATTTTAGCACGAAGTTATTTCTCTATATTTTGCTATATTTTGTAAATGTGCACGAGGATAATATTCAACAGTGTATCCAGAGGAAAAAACGTCTTAAGTGCAAAAATAAAAAAGAATGATGATTTAAAATTCATCAATATTCATGAATTTGAAATGTCTGCAGTAGTATTAATGAAGTATTTGCTTTTGAAAATGTAAATTCCAGTGAATATAAAATGTTAATCTGCATAATTGCTGTCACTGAACATATTTAGAGGAAAAGTAAACAAGGAAGATAAAGCCTCTCATTTGGTATAGTGAGTAATTAAGCTTTATATTTTTTAAGCAGCAAATTGCCTTTTCATTTATTTTGGGTTTCAATAATAATATTAAAAGCTTCAATACGTCAAATGTGAATACATTGCTTGAACTCATTTATCACAGAAAGACATAGCAATTTTTCCCATCTATTAAAGAGCTAGTAATTTTTTATTTCATTAAAATCTATTTTAGGAAATGTGCATAACTTACAGGGACAATGCAATTATGAAATCTAATAATAAAAGGAAAGAAAAAAATCACTTACTTGTCTACATTATTCGCAAATGCAAAATCTAAAAAAATACATTTTTCAATTAGTATCTTTACTTATTCAGCATTTAAAAACAATAGAACAATGTTCTAAAAGAACAGTCTAAGGCATAGCTTTCCATTTTCAAGCCATCCTTTAACATAAACAGTTCAATCTATCAAAGATGCCTTTTTACCTAACCCCAAACTGAAATTTTCTCTTGTATGTGGTGGATTTTGCCTTAGGTTTTTGAGGCAAATTCTTTAATACAATACAAATCTCAAAAGCCTGAGAACAGAATACTTAGTCAATTTATAATTTATCAGTGGAATCCAAATGGGAATTTTTATAATTAAGATATCAAGGCTCATATGCAAAAACTGATCCTTTTTCTTCTGATAGGCACATGCATCTATAAATGGACTAATAGTCAGATAAATGAAGAGAAACATTTAGGGATACTTCAACCATTTGGATTCTTGGCATTGACTTCAAAGAAACAGAATAAACAAATCCTAGATCACAAGAATCTTTATCTTTCCTAGCTTTGGAGCTCAAAGACTAGTCCTCAAAGCCTGGATTTCTTATGGTGTCTTCCAGAGACTGCCATTGCTTTGTTTATTTCTCTCCAGAAGGCCTATGCCAGGCTAGAGATGGAATTTTCCTGCACCTGTTGGGCCAGTAAAGTCCACAGTATGGCTCTTGCCAACTCTCAAGCAAAGCACGTAGCCTTTCTGCTCTTGGAGAATTCATGGCATTGCTCCCTTCACAAGTGGCTGACAAAAGTCTCCCGAGCCTTTCTTTCTGATCATCACAGACCCTTTCTACATTTTCCTCCCAGCTTTGCCAAGGTACAACTGACAGATAAAAATTGTATATATTTAAGGTGTACAACTTGATGATTTGATATATGTTTATAATGCACTGTGAAATAATCACCACAATCTAATTAATATATCTATCGCCTCACATAGTTACCATTTTCTTTTTCGTGTGTGTGCGTGTGTGCGCGCGCATGCGGAGAGAACACTTTAGTCAACATTTTCTGTTTAAACGCTGCCCCCTGGAGTTGTGCAACATGGCAACTCTGTTGACTGCTGCTTTTTGCAAATTCTTCTGATGCTGTACAATCCCCTCAATTGCTCATCCCTGAGTTCATCAATCTCCAGACCTCACATTGAACCCTAGTACCTATCTGAGCCTTCGTGCATAAATAGCACTTGACATTTACTCTTCTAGGTGTGCCTGGTGTCACAGCTACCCAGAATAAGAGATTTCTTCAAGATTTGACTTCCTGAGCCATGAATCTCCCAGCCTAGAACTTTCAATTATTGGTTTTCTCTGGATTCTGTCCTGTCTTGTGTCCATATTGATGTACTCTTGTGAATCGCCATTTGTCAAATAGTCTGTCTGGTTTTCTTTTTGGTTTTACCCTTCTCCCTGAGTAGTACATGCCTCAGCTGCCAGGACTAGGCTCTGTGACACAACACCCCAGCCTGGGTTTAGCACCTGGAGCTCTGTCTTAAGCAAACATGAGGGAAATCCAGCAGTTTCACTTTTGGACCACTAGTAGACATTTTATAAGTTTGTTGGTATTTAATTTTAAATATCTCTTGATGCTTTTCCACATTTAGATAGTTGGTGGGAAATCTGCAAATGTCTCAGTTTCCTTAAAGCCGTGTGAAAACCCACAATGTCGTGATTCTGAGAATATTGGTTATTATGCAATAAGACCCAAAGACATTAGTGGAAATAGGTATCAGACTTCTAACTGTACCTATTTGATAAGGATTCATAGGTTAGCTGGGATTTGAAGAAAACTTAAAATTGACCTAGCTTCTCAAGCTATTTGAAATAGAATTGGTTTCTTCCTCAATTTAAGATTAAGAATAATAAAATCAAAATGTGATGTTATAATTGCCTCATAAACATTTTCAGGGATGGTTTCTTTCCAGTAAAAGAATTCAAAGCCCTAAATGTGTATGTCACAATAAGATTTACAACAAAACAAATGTAGAAGCTACAAAACTTTAAAAATAAGCTTAACTTACATGGTGGGTTTTATTAGTTTCACTATAAATGTTTGGCTAATTAAGATAAGCTGAAATAAGCCATGTTATGGGCTAAAAATACTTTCTAGTTGCTATTATATACAACCTTTTGTGGAAAATGAGTAGATTGATAAAAAGTCATGCTACCCATTTTTAGAGGCTATAGTCAACCTATTTGTGAATGAAGAATATTCATTTAGAAGGAAAAATTTCAAATGCAATAAAATACTCTCCCTAGCTCTTCTTCCTCTGATTTTTTTTTGGAAGTTTAATATAAAAAGCAGTAAAGGCAATAAAAAGGATTATAGTTCTTTCAGCAATAGGTTAAACAAAAGAAATGTAAAGCCTTACAGGTAGTGATCAGCTCTCCCTCCACATCTGTAATAATTATAGGACTGAAAAACAGATTGGGGATGGCCTTGCGTTGTTTATTATTTGTGCATAACTGTTTTGAAGAGGGGAGATTTTCTATCTAGAGATTCCTTTTCTACCACAGTATGGCTCACTTCCACTGATCTGATAACATTCCATTTGGGCCATCACCTCTCACATGAAGTAAAAGAAAGCCCAGGGAAGCAGCTGCCTAATAGAATAGTTCAACTTATAGTTCAACACATCTGGTGTGTGTCATGACAGTCACGTGTCTCAATGTTTTGCATATTAAGCATCACAACAGAGGAAGATATCATACTCACTTTAAAAATCAGAAACCCAAAGCAAATTAATGTCCAAAATAAAACTTATTATTATTAGCAGAGCTAATATTCAAAGCCAGGGAAGTCTAATCCCAAGCTGGTACTCTTACCGTTACCCTGGTTGTTCTGTAATAAGTATGCATCAAAGTCACCTGGAAGGCTTATAACAATACAGCTTCTGGGTCCCACCCTTGAGTTTCTAATTCAGTAAATCTGATTGGGGCAAGAATTTGCATTTGTAACAAGTTCTTAAATGACATTGCTCGTTTGGGGACCACACTCTGAGAGCCACTGCTCTATGCTATATTCTTCTGCACCCACAACATGCCCTACAGACATTATTTCCATTCTATGGAAAATGCAAGGGATAAGGGAACAAATCAAATAACACCATGAGGAAATAATAATAAAAATTGATTCATTCTACAACGTAACTGGCCAAATCCCTTCGAAAAGTCATGGGAAAAAATTGAGGACTCTATTCTAAACTAAAAGACATTCAAGAGATATAACAACCAAATGTAGTTGTGAACCTTAGCTGCATTCTAGTTTGAAAAAGTTGCTGTAGAAACCTTCTTGGAAGAATTGGGAAATTGTAAATAAGGATTATATATTAAATAATATAAATAAATTAGTTATTTTTCTTAAGTGTGATAATGGCATTGGGGTTATACAGGGGAATGTCTTTATTTTTAAACTTGCAGGCTAAATTATTTAGGGGCTTGAAAGTTACAGATACCAGGATGAAATCATTCTTGTCAGATGCAAACAAATTGGAGCTGGGAAGGCAGAAGGAGAGCTCATGCTTGCGTGTCTAAGAACTGTCTCGAGGATGCTCGAAAATAACTCCACAGGAAACTCCTTCACGTCCTTCACGTATTCCTGCTTTTCATGACAGTTTATGTGACCATCTTCTTTTTACCAAATAAAAGCTTCTCTTTACCTTCTTCTCTTTGGATGCACTTGGCTCTTGGTATAACCGTGCATCCTGGATTATAATTCTTTTTGCTTACTCCCAAATCAATTCACTATATTAAGAGATATTTTTTCTGATGTCTTTATTTAGGTTGATAGGAATAGAAGTGTCATGATGTTCTGCTATGAAAACATTTAAATGGTCCAGCAAGATATTGATGTTTTCCAATTTACACTGTCGTGGGGTATGACCAATGAAGTGTAAGTAGAAGCTTCTAAGGAATAAGCTTCCTGAATAAAGAGGCAAAGACTCCTATATGGAGGATGGTGAATATGGCAGGATATTAGTAATTGTGGAATGTACCTGGGCATATGCAGGTGTTTATTTGAATATTCTTTAACTTTTTCTGTTAGAAAACTTTCACAATAAAAAGTCAGGCAAAAAGTCTTAATTTTGCCCTCATTCTTCTTTTTGTTTTTCTTTCCCTCTTGCTTACTCATGAACAATAATTTAGTTGATTATAAAATTCTCAGTTGACCATTACTTTTTGTTAGCATTTTAAAAGCTTTAGATTAATGTCTTCTGGCTTCCATGATTGCAGGTGGGGAGTTTGCTGTGAATCTGTATGTCATTCTTTGTAGGTAATCTGCATTTTCTCTGACTGCTTTAAGATTGTTTGCCTTTGCTTTTTTTTTTTTTTTTTTTAATTTCCACTTATGTGTCTTTTGTGTCTTTGGCTTCATTTTGTTTGGGGAATTGAAGGATTCATACAATTTATCCAGTTTGGAAAATTTATGGTCATTATCACTTCAAACATTACCCTCTGCTCAATTTATTTGTATAATTTTTTCCATCAGGAATTATTACTAAACTTTTATCAGGCCTTCTCTTTCTTGTCTTTCCTTGTCTCAACATCTAATTAATATCTTCTTTCTTTATCTATGTTGCATTCTGAGTAATTTCTTCCAAACTATTTTTCTTTTTTTTAAAAAAAATAATTTTTGTTTTAAAATATTAGGGGGTACAAGTGTTCTTGTTACATGGATAAATTGTATAATACTGGAGTCAGAGCTTTCAGTATGCCCATGACCAAAATAGTGTACATTGTACCCTACAGGTAAGTTTTTATTCCTCACACCCTTCTCCTTCTTAGTTTCCAATGTTCTTTACACCACTTTATGATTACGTGTACCCATCATTTAGCTCTCACTTATTAGTGAGAAAATGTAGTGTTTGTTTTTCCATTCCTGAGATACTTCACTTAGCATAATGTTCTCCAATTCCATCCAATTTGCTGCAAATGGCATTATTCATTACTTTTTTTTTATATTCATTACTTTTTATGGTTCAGTAGTACTTCCTGGTATTCTTTATCCATTTATGAATTGATAGGCACTTAGGTTGATTCATATCTTTGTAATGATACTGACCATTTTTTCAATATGTCTGTTAACCATTTGTATAGCTTCCTTTGAAAAAACTCTGTTCATGTTTTTTGCCCACTTTTTAATGGGGTTATTGGTTTTTTCTTGCTGATTTGTTTGAGTTCTTTGTAGGTTCTCAATATTAGCCTTTTGTCAGATAGATAGCTTATGAATACTTTCTCCCATTCTTAGATTGTCTATTTTCTCTGCTGATTATTTTCCTTGCTGTGAAAAAAATCTGATGGTCTTTGTTTTTATGTCTGTTTATGTGTTGAATCACATTTATTGATTTGCATATTTTGAACCATCCTTGTATCCCTGTGATGAAATCCACTTGATCATGGTGGTTTTTCTTTTTGATGTGTTGTTGAATTCAGTTTGCTATTAGTTTGTTGAGGATTTTTGCATCTATGTTTCATATGGGATATTGATCTGTAGTTTTCCTGTATTGTTGTTGTGTCCTTTCCTGGCTTTGGTATCAGTGTGATACTGGATTTGTAGAATGAATTAGAGAGAATTCCCTCCTTCTCAATGTTATGAAATAGTTTCAGTAGAATGGGTGCCAGTTCTTCTTTGTAGGTCTGATAGAATTCCACTGTGAATCCATCTGGACTGGGACATATTTTTGTTGGGAGATTTTTTTATTACTGTTTCAACCTCATAACTCAGTGTTGGTCTGTTCAGGATTTCTCTTTCTTCCATATTCAGGCTTGGGATGTTATGTGTTTCCAAGAATTTATCCATTTCCTACAGGTTTTCTAGTCTGTGTGCATAGGTGTTTTCATAGTAGTCATAGATGATATTTCATATTTCTGTGGTATCAATTGTAATATCTCCTTTTTCATTTCTGACTGAGCTTATTTGAGTCCTTTCTCTTCTATATCTGGTTAATCTTAGCTAGTGGTCTATTGATTTTGTTTATTTTCTCGAAGAACTTTTTGTTGTATTGATTCTTTGTAGTTTTTTTTATTTTCCACTTAGTTTAGTTCCTCTCTGAGCTTCATTATTTCTTTGCTTCTGATGGCTTCGGGTTTGTTTTGTTCTTCTTTTTCTAGTTCTTTGAAGTGTGATGTTGGGTTGTTAATTTGTGATCTTTTTCTCTTTTTGATGTAACTATCTAAGGCTATGGACTGTCCACTTAGGGCTGCTTTTACTATATCCCATAGATTTTGGAAGCTTGTGTTGCCTTTGTCATTCAATTTGAAAAATTGTTTTATTTCCATCTGGATTTTGTCAATAATCCAAGGATCATCCAGCAACAGGTTGTTTACTTTCCATGTTTCTGTGTAGTTTTGAGAATTCTTCTGGGAATTGATTTCTAGCTTTATTCCACTGTGGTCTGAGAAGATGTATGGTATGACTTCAATTTTTCTAAATTTTCTGAGACTTGTTTTATTGCCTAATATATGATCTATATTGAAAAATGCCCCATGTGCTGATGAGAAGAATGTATATTCTGCAATTGTTGGTAGAATGTTCTGTAAATGTCTGTTAATGTACTTGTTCTACTGTCCCATTTAAGTCCAGTATTTGTTTGTTGATCTTTTGCCTCAATAATCTGTCTACCAAATTATTTTTATTTATTTCTTTTTTTGAGACAGAGTCTCACTTTGTTGCCCAGGCTAGAGTGAGTGCCGTGGTGTCAGCCTAGCTCACAGCAATCTCAGACTCCTGGGCTCAAGCGATCCTCCTGCCTCAGCCTCCCAAGTAGCTGGGACTGCAGGCATGTGCCACCATGCCCGGCTAATTTTTTTCTATATATATTAGTTGGCCAATTAATTTCTTTCTATTTATAGTAGAGACGGGGTCTTGCTCTTGCTCAGGTTGGTTTCAAACTCCTGAGCTCGAACGATCCACCTGCCTCAGCCTCCCAGAGTGCTAGGATTACAGGCGTGAGCCACCGCGCCCGGCCTACCAAATTATTTTTAAATTTAATTTTTCCCCTTAATTTCTAGAAATTCATTTGGTTCTTTTTAAATGTATATTGTGCCTTTGGCAAAATGTCACTGAAGAATAGGATTTTGTCTTTGCACTTTTCTTCCTCCACCCTTTCTTCCTTCCTGATATGGAGATGTGATGCTTGGTGGTATAGCAGCTACCTTATAACCATAAAGCATACTCAGAATTGCACAATAAAAGATAGATATATTCTTGAACACTGATGACATCATGGAACTTTACACTAACCCTAAATACCCTATCTTTGTACTCTTTGCTATGTGAGAAAAATAAATTCCTATTTGTTTGCATTTCTGTTACATATAAGAAATTAAATTCTTACTAATGAAACATCACTGAAAATATTCAAGTTATACTTGCATGTGATGACCATGTATGTGAGTATAATCAAAATATTAACAGTGCTTATTTCTGGGTGGCACAATTGCAGATGATATTTATTTCTTCTTAATATTTTTTCCATATTATCAAAAACTTCTAGGTTTAATTGGTAACATTGTCCTGTGTTAGTAGTAATAAAAATAACTATAGCTTGTTTACTGAGCTCTTTATACTGTGCTAGATACTAGGGTAAGGGCATCAATGTGTTATCTCACTATTATCACATTATCTCATTTAATGTAATATGCATGAATGAAGATGAAAATTGCATACTGACTGTAGACTAATAGAATTATAAAATTAGAAAATGTAATATTAGAAAATAATTAGAAATTATTTCACTATATAGGTACTTAATTCATTGTAAATTGTAGTTACCGTTATTATAACCAAATTACCCAAAAGTTTGAGGACTTTTAATTTCATTTTTATTTTCCCAAAATACCTGAAGGTACTTTCTGGGCTGATTTTTGCTTAAATGATGATTTAGGATTCCATGAGGCATCTATTTTTGCTCTGAATGCTATTGATTGAATGGTATGAGCCTTTTTATGGTCAAAAATGGTAATCATTGATCTTCTTTCTTTTTCTGTAACTTCTGAGAAATATAAAAAGTAATATTATTGCACAGCATTGTAAACAGACATGCAGAGTGATTCAAAATAGAAACGAACATTTTCAAAAGTATATTTATCTCTACTATATTATATGTGAACATCTTGTCAAAATTGATTGATAAAAGGGCTATCATAGTTATTCCCGTAATTTTACAAAAGCTCAGTATTTGCCCCACATGTCACAGGCAGAGCTCAATCCTGGAGCCTAATGCATTCTAGATACTTTCTAACATTAGAGATGATTGAAGTTGCAGAATGATGCAGCCATTTCATTAAGGATATCAGAAAGGAGAAATATATAGCCATTACATTCTGATATATCCTCATAGAAAAAAAGTTACTCAGTAATAAATTACTAAGAATGGTCAAACCTGTAGAGATAGAAAGATAAGTGGATAGAGAGATAATATAGCACTTTGGGGTAAAAGAGATCTCAAAACAATGTAAAATGTGATGAGGTTAATTGTGTGTGTGTGGAGGGTTAGTTATATAAATCAGACATGCTAGTTTATCTACAGTGTTCAAAGATATATCCATAAAGAGGTCATCATTGATTATATCAGTTTTGATATATATAGTTACAGAATTTCAAAGAATACGACTTTTAGAATTTAAATAGGCCCTAAGAGATTTTGTTGAATTCCCTTATTTTTGAGATAAGAAACTAAGGTATCAAGGGGTAAAAAACTTGGTATCCAACATGTTAAAGTCAAAACCAGAACCAAAAGATATGCTTTCCTCGTGCTTACTTGAAATATCTTTCCAATAAAGCGGTAAAGACATGAATTTCTCAATTTTAGACAGCAAGAATGTCAAAAATAAATAATGGAAAAACTTTCATTTACAATGACAATTATTCAAAGATATTCTTTACAAAAACAAATTTTCAAAGGCAGTCTTCATTTTTAAGCCACTGAGCTATAAGACTGCTTCTCAAATATTTCTTTGCAAGAAAGAGATATCCTTACCATTTCGGTCAAGCTGCTCCACTCCTGGAAGGTGGTAGATTACATATAAACGGTACAGGTTATATTGACACAAAGGGTTTTGGTACAGAGCTACAAAGCAAAAATCCAAAATAAGATGTCATATTTCAAAATTAGTCTTATTTATCACTTGATAAATTATGACAAATTCCAGGGTTCATATAAAACATAAGAACTTGTAAAGCTCTGCTTCATATCCAGCCAACAGACTCATTAAACTTTTATACATTCAGAGCAACAGTTAATTTTCTTATCTGTTAAATTCATTCATTCAGCAAATATTTACTGAGTACTTACTATCTACTAGGAACTGTGCTAGATGCAAGGGTCATATTGTTGACCCAAATATGCCACAAATGGGGAAAATTTTAACATGCCCACAAGTAAATTAGTAGAGGAAGAGCTTGGCTCCATGGAAAACATCAGCTCCAGGGAATTCTTGCAGCTACTTTTCATGAAAGCATCACTTGGTGCTCTCCTAGTGTCAAAGGTCACAAGGGTGCCTCTGTGGAGTTGGGCAGAGATGTAGCTAACTATTCTAATGGAATTTGCTTCCTCCACATCACACCATTGCTCATAGCTCAGAATATGTAAATGCCAACAGCAGCTTCAGATCTCGGCAGGAGCAGAGCCGGCAGTTGCGGCTGGCCAGGCACACGTGGCTCTGAGATCCCGATGTGCAGGGGCTAGAATACATTAGAACAGTGGCTCTCTAAAGCAGTAGCTGGAAGAGGGAGGCTGCATCCATGTGGATGCAAAAGAGCTCCTGGCATTTCTGACATCACATCCCTTAGGAATCAGCATGTAGGTATGGTTTTTAAACATCTTCCAAGTTGTGATGATGCTTTCATTTTCAAGGAAAAAGTAAAATATTTTCCCTTTTCATCCTAGATCACAACAGACAGGATTATTTCAATACAATGGGAAATGAAACTTTTGTGATTTTCCTTGTGGATATTTTTAGCTATTTGGAATCTGCCTACATGCAATTTATAGAAAATATTACTTCTGAAAAATACATATAATGAAGAGAACCACTAGATGGCAGTAGCAGAAAGAGCTATTGCACTAATAGTTCACTCAAAATGAGGCTCGCTTAATGTGCGTGTTAAATTTAAGAGTTCTGCTATAGACTATTCATAAAATACAACGAGGTTTGATAAAGGCATGAAAATATTAGACATTAGGAACCCAGAAAAAAACGATGAATATTTATAGTGAACAGCTTACAACAGAAAGATTGGGGTGGGAACATGCTTGAAAGACAAACTATTTAGATAAAAACTAAAAAAGTCAATCATCTGGACGTTTTCTCTGTAGGTAATAAAACATCCTGATATTTGTTGCATGAACACAAATTTTTCTGGCTAATAAAATCGTTATATATAGCTATTCCCTGTGGAAAACATGAGCTTTAGAGGGACATAAAACAGGCCAGAGAAGACACCTGGTGCATAATAAACAAAAATTATTAGTGAGGAGAGGCATAAAAGAAAAGGTAGAGCCAGGAACAAAAAAGAAATTTAAAAGAAAGGAAATATGTATCTATTGGAAGAAAAATAAAACAGAATTTTTTTCAAGATTTAAGTGACAACAAAAATTGGTTCGCATTTTAGTCTTCAAAGGGAAAAGATTTAAAGCGATAATTAATAGTTAAAATAATAACTAATAGGACAGAGAATAGAACAGATATATATTAAATCAATAACAAGGACAGATTTTAAAAGATCCATAGGGATCATGAATTGTAGTTTGAACCAGAGAAAGTAAAGAAAAGGACGCCCTTCAAGGACATAAAAGCAAAACACAATTGTTTTTAATGAGAACTTAGGAGGAATAAAAAGTCACAGATGCTTTCGTGCATAAGTCTGTTTTTGTGGTTACTGTCTTGGGGAATCGCATTTGACACCTCATAACCCTGTAGTACACTATAGCAGTGGAAAGTGGAATCTGCCTTTACGTGTGATATAAATGAAAAATCCACCAACATCTTTCAATGACATTTTCTCTTGGTGTACCCTTTGTATTCTCTTTTCCCTCTCAGAACATTCCTATTCATTTCATTTCTTTTCTTGGCCTTTTCTCCTAATACTTGGTTAAGTAACTTCCTTATGTAAATTTAAAAACTAGCTTCAGTTAAACAAAACATCAAACTTGGATTTACTACTGTTACATCGCATTACTTACTCATAATTACTTATTATTACTTATTACTTATTATTGAAAGACATTTCATCTCTATTATTCTTCACTGTTTCATAGCCCTTTAATTGTATAAGGAAGCAATCTTTTTTCAACTCTCTTTCTTTTTTTCTCCTTCTATACTATTAAACATTTAACGTTTTAGATTTATGAGTTTTGGATTGATGCTACTAAAATTACCATAAATTAGATTTCTAAAGATATGAAATCGGTTTCCTGTGTCTGAATGTTCTGAAAGCCTTCTATGATGTATGGCCACATTCCTTTAGAAACTATGAAGCGAAATTGCTTACACTTTCACTTTCAATAGGTTAATACTATTTAATCCACCTTCCCCCTAGGCTACTTATAGAGTACACCTCAGTGGCGCCAGCACTGTCTTGCTTATCTTAATTTGGGATTCTGAGTCTAAGCAATTTACATTTACCCAAATGATATATCAAAACGTCTGTACTACCTTACTGCACTAGAGAGTTATGAGTCACATGTGTAAAGCTACTTTTTATTGAAACAGAAGATTTTTTAAAAAGGATAAAGTCATCTAAATAATTAGCTCCAGTTAATTTTTTTGAACTTTTAAAGCAGAATTTAAAATGGTCATTTATAGATGTACCCAAATGTTTTTAAGGCCATCTTTAAAGAAAGTTGATGAGATTAATAAAGGACCAACACACTTATTTTAATAGATGGGAGAAATGATATAAAGAGGCTAAAAGCCTTTATAGAACAGCCTGTGGAAGAAAGTTCGGCTGCCAACAATCAGACACCAAGATTCTGAGGTTCTGGGTAAGCTCAGCGTCTCCATTATTATCACCATCTCATTTTAATGACAAATCGGTGGGCCACCACACACCACATGCTTCTACTGAATTTGGAAATCACCCCTGATTGTAAAACGCAAACTTTTATAATAAAACAGGGGATGAAGAGAGTGAGGGGATCAGAACATTCCCTTCTTCAGGACAAACAGCAGTGCAAGACCCAGGTGGTTCTTTTTATTTGGTGATTGTTGTTTGGAAGGGGTGGTCCCACCTGGAAGGGCGTTACAGGTAGAGGCTGAAATGCACACACCCCTGAGATCAGAGTCCCAGCCTATCTCCCAGCGACCGACCTTCTTCACCCCTGACGTTTTGCCATCAGCAGTGGACTAGGGGCATTGCTGATGGCAGGGGTAGAAAGCGTTTAAGAGGAGTGCCTGTGGGAACATGGTGACCCTGTCTTGAATTCCCTGTTCCCAGTGGTGACTCCTGGAAGCTCCGCTAGGAAGCTTCATTTCACAATGATGAAATGCAAGAGTCTAAGTGTACTTTCCAATAGTGGAGCTAAATAAATCATTTGAGAGCAATGAGGAGACTGAAGGTTTAGGAACAGGAGAATGGATGAAGTATTTTGTCCTTGCTGCTGCCGTTGGTGGTGGTTTTTTCCCTTAGGGCTGGAAAAGGGGCAGGAAGACTGAAGGTTAGAGAAAGTCATCAGCCACAAAGTGCATCGGCTCACGTGGATTCTGAGAAGTTTGGTAAAGGGAAGGGTAGAGGAAACGGAAGCTGGAAAGGGAGGGTGTGGAAAGGTAGACCTCCTGGAGAGAAGAGGTGGGGCCCCTGACTGCCTGGAAGACAGGAATTCCAGTTCCCAGGACCTCACACTCTGCAGCTGGCTTAGGCCTCCCTGAAGCTCTCAGCCGTGCGTCTCCCTTGCAATCCTTGGCAATTCTCCTCCTACGTGCCAGTGGAGGGTGCAAGGCTGACAATGGATTAGGGGTTTACGCTCCAGGCTATTTTCTCACCCTCTGAAGAACTTGTAATCGAAGTGAAATAATAATAATAACACTTTAGATTTTCTTTGGTTTTACAACTTGAAAAGACAAAAATTACAACATTTGAAAGTACTTAGATTTCTCCTTTTAGTTAATGAGCTGAATCTAATCCGCAATTGCAAATGAGGCTCAAAGAAACTTAATCTGAGAACATTACTGCACAAAGGACATTAGTAGTCCAGGAAATGCAAACTTTTTTTTTTGTGTGTGTGTGTATAATATCTTTAACCAAAACGGGGCATAGGTTCAACATGTGAATGTTTGCTACCAAGAATTTTCAGCAAATGCTTTTTTTGTAATTGGACATAGCATTTTCTCCATTTCAAAAAAAAAAAAAAATAATAATAACCCACTGACAAGATTTTCAATTGCAACAATTGTAGTTATATGACTTGAATTACGTCAGTATGATTTTAAGTAGAGGTCACTTAAACTGTTGTGCCAGGTAATAATATGGACATTATACTACTAGTCTGGCCTTCAAAGAACTAGAAGAAACCACCGTTTTCCTCACAAGCCTGCACAATTCTGTTCTCTAGTAAACCCTTGAAAAGTAAGGCATATGCTGAATTTTAGGGTCCTTTCAGTCCTGGACCAGGCACCTTTGTTTAGGGCATAGCCGTGTTTGCTACTATTGGGCAAGCTTGTTTATTACTCTCCACATGTTGTTTTATAACAAGTTTGCTTAAATTATTGAGTTTTTACATACAGCAAAGTGTCCAAATAGTTTTGCATCAAGCCCTTTCTACTCTCTAAGAAATATTTAGGCTGAAAGTTATAAGTCCTATAAAGGTCCAGACTGGATCTTTCTTTTTTAACTTTGTGTTCTATTACCTAGTAAAGTGTGATGCAGTGAATGTGTGATAAACATTTATTGAATAAATGAATGAATACATAATAAATATTTATTGAATGAATGAATAAATAAGTGATAAATGAAACAAAGCATGAGTTTAAGTCTCAATATTCCTTAGCAGTTTGGTTAACTCTCTGGGCTTTACATATCTACCATTGAAAAGGGAATAATTCTAATCATGTCATAGGATGCTGTAAAGATTCAAATGAGAACCTGATAAGACAACATTTTTTCAAAAGGAAAGACATTCAAACACGTTACTATAATGATTATTATTTAAAATGTCAGTTATATTTTCTTGAGTCTATTTATTACTTAGAATTTATAGACTATATGCAACTTAATTTATTGTCTGATTTACATAATTTACAATAAAATATATATTTTTTTGCTGCTTCAATATAACCTTAATGCTGAGAAATGTTTTCTAAAAAAATGTTTTACAGAGTTATCTTAATGTTCAAAGCAATCCTGAGAGGTAGCTATTAGCACATTTTATAGAAAAACATAGGTAAGATTTCTGGATCTAGCATAACTAGGGTTTTAATGAAAGAAGCATTTGTTCAGCACAGAAGGGCCAGATAACTCCTGAATCTTTCACAGAAGATCAGAAAGCTGTGAAAACTCCTAACAGTTGGCAGCCTTATCACGTCTCCAAAATAAGCATGGAATTGCCATGAATGTGCTGTGAATTTATGATTTTAATATTTGAGTTTAAAGAATTTAACTATAAGCATATCAACCATGATCCTCAGTGTAGTAGATGTAACTGATTACACTGAAAATATATGGAAATTTTAGTTACTATCTATATATTGATCTGATCAGAACCTCCACTACCAATAGTTTTTAAATATTCAAAACACTGTTCAAGGCGATTCTGAGAAATGACAGAAAATGAATGGGAAAACAAAAATCTATTTCATGACATTATATAAAGAGGTCTCCAGCCTCTAAAATCTAAAAACCTACTTGTTGATCTGAGGGTCTTTTACCTTGGTGCACCTAGAATCCTCTGTCTTGTATTTTGGTTGTGTATATGTTAATTTACCCTTCAAGATCATAAACTTTTTTTTTTTTGAGACAGAGTCTCACTCTGTTAACTGGGCTAGAGTGCCATGGCGTCAGCCTAGCTCACAGCAACCTCAAACTCCTGGGCTCAAGCAATCCTCCTGCCTCAGCCTCCCTAGCAGCTGGGACTACAGGCATGTGCCACCATGCCTGGCTCATTTTTTTCTATATACTTTTAGTTGTCCAATTAATTTGTTTCTATTTTTAGTAGAGTCGGGGTCTCGCTCTTGCTCAGGCTGGTTTCAAACTCCTGACCTTGAGCGATCCTCCGGCCTCGGCCTCCCAGAGTGCTAGGATTACAGGTGTGAGCCACAGCGCCCAGTCCAAGATCATAAACTTATTGAGAGGAGAGACTGTGTTATTTATTTTTCTAACTCATCTCACACTTCTTTCCAATACTGTGGTGAGTTCCTTACTGCCTATGATTCAATACATATGAATGAAGTTTGCTGCCCAACCAATCTAAAGTTTAAAAACTTTTATTTATTTATTTTTTGGTATCAACTTTATTAATATATTTCACATATCACACAATTCACCCATTTTAAATATAAAATTCATGTATTTGTGGTATATTCATAGAGTTGTGCAACTTATCACCACAATTTTAGAACATCTTTTCACCCCCCCCAAAAAACCCCAAAACCCTTTACTCTTTACTGTCACAATAATCGTCACCGTGCCCCCACCCCCCACCCCATTAAGCAAACACTAATCTAGTTACAAATAATTACCTGTCAGTATTGCTATTTCTATAGATGTACCTATTTGGGACATTTCATATAAACAGAATCATACAATATGTGTTAAAACCTACTTTTGAGATAAAACCCAAAACAGGTTTAAACATGCAAATCCTCTTTTGTTATTTTTGTCGTTTTTGTTTGACATGCCATATCATTGCATAATATTTTTTTTCTACCTGTTGTTTATTGGAAAGCATGTCTTAGAAAAGAATAAGATCTACTCTTGTTTTCAAGGAATATCTAAGTATTTCAGTTGTAAGTTGTATTTCAGTTGTAAGTATTTCAGTTGCTCTTCTACTTTTAAACTTGAGAAATATGTTATTATTATTTTAAGTCCATAAAAAAGTACAAATTGTTACTCAGTGTCTTCAGATTTAGCATCCCCTTCAATTCCTTCACTGTTGCATCAATGTTTGTTAACTCATTGTGGTGTAGCGTGAGTACATGCAACGAAGGCAGACAACGCAGGCCTAAAAAAAGAGAACATTTTAATAAGATTTTAAACATTTTTTAGTTTATTTTTTAATTGACAAATAATAATAAACATTTTTAATGACAGCATGCTAACTAAACAAAAGGAAGGAATATATTACAACTGGAGATAGAAGGAATGACTATTAATAATACTGAGAAATTATTATTAAGACTAAAACAAAGCATATGAATTCAAATAATTGATTGAAATGTGCGACTATAGAGTCAATTTCTTTCTACTGTTAGTGTTTTACTTTTTTTCCATAGGAATTGATTTTGTTTGTTTGCTTAATTTTGGAGGAGTTATTTTCTTTCTTCTTTTTGTTTTTGTTTTTTTTTGTTTATTTGTTTGTTTGTTTTGGGGGTTTTTTTTGGCCAATGATAGATTTATAATGCCAATCAAGAGAATAATTACTCAACAATTCAGTGCCTTCCTCTAACTTGAACAGCTAAGTATTTTCTTTAGATAATAGAAAGTCAGATATTCATGTCATTTTTGTTGATTCTAAATTACACATTTTCCCACATTTTTTTTTTATTTTTTTATTTTTTTATTTTTTTATTTTTTTTTTAGACTGGCATAACAGACTGGATGTTTTTTCCCACATTTTTAACATAAGTGAAAGTGGGATATGTCTTCATGATAGCCATGACATAGTGTAATTGGCAAGATTTTTTTTCCTAGTGGTACATGAAATCATGGTCAGTCTTAAAATTTACAATATTTTGATTCTATAATATATGATATTAAAGTGTTTTATACTGTACCTGTTTGTATTTCATGATCATGGTACACCATATACTTTTATATTCAGCTTGAAATTGTTAGCTTAGAGTTTGTTGCACATAAAAAATAAACTCAGAGTAAAAACAGGAATTTGGCTGATAAAAGTTATAGCCAGTAAAAACTTTTAAGATTCATAAAATTTTTGTATTTACTAATGCACCCAAATATCGCTAAGATTTGCTCCCACAATATCTAGTTTGTTTCCAAAACTCCTGTTAAAAATATTCTTTTACATTTTGAATAAAACACATGACAATATGGAATTGGAAAAGTAATCTCACAGCACATTTCTTAAAATGAAATGTACATAGTAATATTAAAAAATCGATTCCATCATATATTTTCAACAGAAATGTTAAAACAGATTTTTGTAAGTCATTAACAATTACCATAGTTCAAAGTTATTACTCAATTGAAAATCTATTCAATCAGCAGAGAAAATTTAAGACGTACCTTCTAGGTCAAATATTACATTGTTGTTTAGATATAGTTCTGCCAGACAATAGTTTCTAGTTAGAAATGTTATTCCGTGGAGCTGAAAATGAGAGGGAACAATATATTTTTAAAAATAATTATATATAGTAATGTGTGTATGTGTGTGTATGTATATATATATATATATATATACACACACACACATATATATATAGAGAGATAATTATATTAAGACCATAGAAGCTTGACCTTTGCAGCCATTATTATTTCTGACCTTTTGGTCTGGCATTGCATTTGGATTGTCTTTGAGGAAAGTGTGATGAGAAAGGTTGCTTTTAGTTAACTTAAAACAAACCTCTCTTACCACATCTCAGCCAAACTCTCTTGCCTGGCTTTCAAAGCCTCTGTAATCTGCTCTAACAATATTTCTCCTAGTTCTGTTCCATATAGTCTCCCTGGATTTGGCTCTACATGTCCATTAATCCACCATCTAATATTATCATGTGCCAAAGGCTCTCTCCTCAGATAGTGCCGAGACCATTTCTGCCTCTGTATGAGTCATGAGTTCCCTTTGCCTGCATGTCTTTTCTTCCTGGTGCAGTCCACTCATTTGTAAGGAACAGCAAGGCATACCAAATCGGGCACGAGTGGACTACCATGGTACTTTTTCACCATTGCAGAGACTTGGTGAAACCATCCTTTGATCTCCTTGCACCTTGCTACTGCCTTCTTGATCTGTTTTGACCCACTTCTTGTTTCTTCTCTAAACTTCTACTTTCCTCAACACTTTGACTCGAATTTCTTTTCTTTTCTTTTCTTTTTTTATTTCGGCATATTATGGGGGTACAGATTTTAAGGTTTCAATAAATGCCCTTTTCCCCCCTCCCCCCACAAGTCTGAGTTTTGACTTGAATTTCCTGAATGACTCTGACCTCTCTTTATACCCTAGTCCAGGGGTCCTCAAACTATGGCCCGCGGGCCACATGCGGCCCACCAAGGACATTTATCCGGCCCTCTGGGTGTTTTTGCCGCCACTGCCTGTCCTGCTTAGCAGCCGACTTGTCCCCAGGCCCACAGTGCACATGAGTGGAATGTGCGCTGCACTCTCCAACGGCCCTCCAACGGTCTGAGGGACAGTGAACTGGCCCCCTGTTTAAAAAGTTTGAGGACTCCTGCCCTAGTCTATACCACATCTCCTCCTCCTCTCTGACTCATTGTCCTGGCAAACAGATCTCCTTAGTCAAGGGCTCTGTAATCTGAATAGGCACAGGAGGCACCTCTGCCAGATCTGGCCCAGTGCTAACAGCTCGACTGGCTACCATCTGCAACTAGAGAGCAAGGCACAGCCTAATGCCAGTCATCGGTCACAGTTCCAGGTTTTCCACAAAGCTTTTCCTACCAACTCACGTGCTCATGAATATCCATTTTCTTGACCACTCCAATACTTTGATTTTGTTTGTTTTTAAGACAAGAGTCTCACTTTGTTGCCCAGGCTAGAGTGCCGTGGCATCAGCCTAGCTCACAGCAACCTCAAACTCCTGTGCTTAAGTGATCCTCCGGCCTTAGTCTCCCAAGTAGCTGGTACTACAGGAGCACAGCACCACACTTGGCTAATTTTCTTTAATTTTTAGTAAAGACAGGGTGCTCAGGCTGGTCTTGAACTCCTGAGCTCAAGCAATCATCCCACCTCAGCCTCCCAGAGTGCTAGGATTACAGGCATGAGCCACCGTGCCTGGCCCCAACACTTAGTTTGACGTGTACAATTAATTGCTTGATCAGTAGAGTTTTGTGTCTTCCTTAGGAAAAGCAGCCATATTTCTTCAGCATCTTATACTTTCTGCCTCCCACTCTCCTAACAATATGGTAAAGTTGCATCTTACTTTTAAGATTAGATTCAAAATCAGTGAATTCGATTGATTGGAAACGTACTCTCTTGAAATGAACCATTAAGTACTGTATACATGATACAGGGTATTCAATGCTAAACTGTACCTCAGAAATCTTTCTGATATCCTGTAAGGAGAACCCTATTCTTAAAAATATTGACTCTATGACCTCAATAAAATTTAACAGATTTGTTTGAATTGTGAGAATGACACATATTAGAGCCATAGAAGAGGGGTAGGTATGTTCTAAAAAAAGCAAGTAAGTTAAATATAAGAATGATACCATTGTTATTGAATAGGATCTAGCAGGGAAAATATTCTCATGAGATAGTCACTGATCAAGTGTTTAGTATTAGGTTATTAAGTATGAAATGTCTGATTTCCTTAAGTACTAAGTTTGACAGTATCTCTGACATCTCACTTTGACACTGCTAGTTTTATTTTTATTGTAGAAGTACATCCTCAGTCTTTCAAATGCACATGTTGGCAGGTGATTATCTTTCAAATTTTTTTACAGCAATTTTTGTGGAAGCATGGATAAGTCAAAACTTCGTGTTATTTTTGAATGTGAGTTGTGTCATGGAACCAATGCAGTGTAGACAGCTTGAAATACCAATGAAGTGTTTGGGAAGGATGTGGCACAGTAATTCAATGGTTTGAGAAGTTCTGCTCTAGTGATTTTAATCTTGAATATGAGCCACGTGGGCAACCAGAGACCAAGGTGGCTAATCATGAGCTGAAAGCTATAATGGAAGCAAATCCGTCTCAACCTATGCGGAAATTAGCAGCAAGGTTTGATGTTACTATTCCAACAGTTTGGGAACATCTGATTTTTTTTTTTTTTTTTTTTTTGGTGTTAGGATTTCAACATAAGTATTGCACCATTTGAAACAAATGAGCAAGGTAAAGAAACTGGATAGATGGGTACTGCATGAATTAAATGAGCATCAGAAGAAAAATCGTCTCAAAGCTTGCCTTTCTTTGCTGTCATGGCATAAAGGTGAACCATATCTATGCCGTATTATTATGTGAGATGAAAAATGGATTTTTTTGGCAATTGCAAGCATTCAGCACAATGGTTGGATAAAGATGAAGTGCCGAAACACAGTCCAAAACCAAATATTCATCAAAAAAAGGTAATGGTATCTGTTTGGTGGTCCAGCGCTGGTATAATCCACTACAGCTTCATGAAACCTGGTCAGTTGATTACAGCTGATGTTTACTGGACCCAGCTGGATGAAATGATGAGGATGCTTGCCATGAAGCAGCCAACATTGGTCAACAGAGACAGACCTATCATCTTGCAAGACAACGCCTGATCACATGTCGTATAAACAACACTACTCAAACTACAGAGGCTGGACTTAGAAACTCTGTGTCATCCACCATATTTACCAGACCTTCCACCAACTGACTACCACTTCTTCCATACTTTGGACTACTTCTTGCAAGGAAAAATATTCAATTCTCAACAAGCTGTAGAAAACACCTTTTGTGATTTCATTGTCATTTGCTCTCCAGGATGCTTCTTCACTGCTGGCATAAACAGGCTACATTAAGATGACAAAACTGTGTTGATAGTTTAGGCACATACTTTGATTAATTGTACCCTTATCTGAGATATAATAAGCAATACTTTAGATACAAAATCAGACATTTCATATTTAATGACCTAATACTTTATATATATACAGGAATGTATGATCATGGTTGTAAATTTTTGTTTCGTGTTTTCTGAAGCTTTTCATAGGAACTGTTATTATTAGTTAAAAAGAAACATTTTGTCCATTTGGTGAATAGATTCAGATGAATAGTCCATTTGACTTAGGATTTATTGGAAATTTTACTCATTCCCCTCTCATATTTCAGAAGACCCATTGGAAATACTCAGGAATTGTGAAGCTAAAAAAGGCATGAATGCTGTTTACCTCATCGATTTATAGACTTATCTCTGCCAAGTTACATTAACACTCCTTCAGAAGGACCAACAATAATTTCACCATAGCTTTTGTTAAGTCATGAGTGGAGCCATGTTTCCCCCAGCTAGGAGAAACCATTAAAAATAGGAAGGTAAGGATCCCAGTTGGCTTTTTATCCCTTTCTACTTTTTCTCCTGGCCTCCTGGCAGCAATTCACTGCTTTCTGTTCTTCCTTTCACCACTCCCTGCTTTAATAATAGCCACAGTGGACATCAGCATCGGAAAAAAACACCAGTGGGAATTTTGACTTTTTCTTCCCTCCTTTTCCAGTTACCTGCTGACTAGACATTAATAGAACATTACTAATTAGTTGAGACTTTGATTTCTCTTGCATTACTTATCAGTACAAGAAGAACACTAATAAAATTGACAGTTTGATCTTTTTTCGGTTGTTGTTTTTGAGACAGAGTCTCGCTTTGTTGTCCAGGCTAGAATGAGTGCCGTGGCGTCAGCCTAGCTCGCAGCAACCTCAAACTCCTGGGCTCAAGTGATCCTCCTGCCTCAGCCTCCCAAGTGGCTGGGACTACAGGCATGTGCCACCATGTCTGGCTAATTTTTTTCTATATGTATTAGTCGGCCAAATAATTTCTTTCTATTTATAGTAGAGACGAGATCTCGCTCTTGCTCAGGCTAGTTTCGAACTCCTGATCTCAAGCAATCCGCCCGCCTCGGCCTCCCAGAGTGCTAGGATTACAGGCGTGAGCCATCCCACCCAGCCGACAGTTTGATCTTGATTATAGAACCATAGTTTTCCCACAAGCATTAATATCTTTGGGCCATGATTATGGGGATTATAAGATTGTACTGTTTGTTGAGGTGAGGGAGAGAGGGAAGATAGAGTGGAATGAGACAAAGCCAGATCATGAAGACCTTACGGAGCTATTAAAAAGACTTCGTGCAGAGGAATGTTATTGCCCAATGTGATCTTAGAAAGAAAACAGCAGAGTGGAGCATAGTTTAGGGGGAATACTAAGTACAATGGCAGATGAATAAGGAAGATGTAACTCTAATTCAGAAGAACATATGGTGGCCCAACGCAGAGTAGTGATGCTGGGAGAAGAAAGAAGTGAAGGAAATTGAGAGACAGTTCCAAGGTAGTCACAAGACTCAATAGACATTGCAATACAAGTTGTTAAAGTCAGGAACAGGAATTAGAAGACATGTTGATTGTCCTGATACTGAAGCCATTATTAAAGTAAAATGTTATTATAATTATCCATTTAGAAAAATCGATA